ACCTCCATATGAATGAAAAAGTTATGGGAAAGGGCCATTAAAAAGAAGAGGGTGTGAAAAAAAAAATTGTTAAGGAGGTACATGGCTATTTTTAAGCTAAGAAAATTCGGATAAGCACCTATATGTTCAAGGTGTTCTCGTCATTTCAAATTTAGAAAAAAGGTAATTTTCGCGGGAACAAGAAAGGTTTGGGTAGATATAGTGCTAAGTTTTTGTGTTACTGTCGGGCCCTAGCATCCATGGACAAATCAATTTTTGTTTAGATGGCATCTTTGTCCTTACATTATACCTTTTTTTGTTTTTAATAAACTGTAAATACGCGATAACAATTTTGTAGAGTCACTTTGGTTTAAAAAACATATAGCAGATCTGCAATGACTTCATCGGGGACCAAATCAATGCAACTGATTGTAAATGCTTTACTTCTAAAGGCTAAGATATCTATTTTGCGAAAAAAAAAAAAAAACAACAAAAAACAAAAAACAAAAAAAAAAAAAAAAACACTGATACGTCACATGGAGAGTCACCCTTTGCAAAATAGTTCTCAATTTCATCTTAGAATCTTAGGAATTTCAAGTTAATTCTTTGTTTTTGGCTTGAACAATCATAAGCCTACGTCTGATCCCGCGGAGAGTCGAACTAGCGACTTATCACACAAAACGGCAAACGCTTTACCGACTGAGCCCCCTTAACAGGTCAAACTATATTAATGTACATGTATAATATTTCTATCCACTGAATATTTCTTCTTTGTTTCTTTTATACTGATTGTTGTTAATAAATCGAATAATCAAATAAACTTCTAAACAAGTTAAATCCGTTTTTTAAAGCCATCTGTGTGATAGATTTCTTAAGAAGGGTCAAAGGTCGACTGTTTCGTGGATTTTCCATCAATAGAACCTATAGATCGATATTAATCGATTTTACAAGTCTAATTTTCTGTAAAAACAGCAATGAAATAGCAAAAACCGTGAGTACGGTGTCGTTTCCAGTTGGCGGATCGAAGTCACTGGCAGTTTTTAATGAAACTGACAACAAAAAATCGTTTATTTATTTCATAAAACGTCATCAGAATTATTCAATCAAAACTTGATTTAAATGATATATAAGAGATAAGTAGTGATAACCGGTTAAAATGGAAAATATGCAAATTATTTTCGTCATTCACCGATCTTAATATTGACGGAAACTTCTAGAACATCATAAAGGATCGAGCCCGGTGTTAAAAAGAAAAACGAGGCGATTACAGCTGCATGTACATAAAAAAAGCTTTTGTGTGAATGGCCATTAAAATAATATTAAATCATTGATAACAATATAAGTGAATAAATTTATAGATTTATATATTGAAAGACTACTGTAAACCAACTTTTATTCGCGTGCCAGAAATATTCGTGAGTTTCGCGACCTACTTTAACTCGCGCATATTTATCGCAGTGAACCATTTATTTTGCTTAGTATTTGTATAGAATGTTTCCTCATTCGCGAAATTAATTGTCGCGGATTGATTTAAAACTGACGAATCGCGAATAAAAGTTAACGCGAATAATAGTTGGTTTACAGTATAATATATATATGTAGTAGGTTTTCCTAATAATTTTTTTTGGTAAAATTTGTATATATATTCCTCAGTCAGAGCATCGTGGCAACGAACCCGAAGTACAATTTGTACTTCGTAATAAACTTGCTTACATGAAAAGAGATAATGAATAAGGTATTGTTCAAATACAATTTAAGCTGTAAAGCTTTAATCAATATTTTCATTTTTTCTGAATACAGTCTTTTGTATCGAATACTCGGCCTATTCATAAGGCATTAAAAGCTAAATTTTACACAGGTTCTTGGGTCTTGGTTTATAAATATGTATGTACCTTATTGATATATATATATAAAAAAAAGTAAAGTACATTTTTTTTACATATCAATGAGATACATCCATATTTATAACCCAAGACCCAAGTACCTGTCAATTTTTACCCCTGCCTCCCATAAAATCAATTTATCTGTAAAATGTGCATATTCCCTGCTTTTATCCTTGACGGAAATGAAATAAGAGCATCTGAATTACAATATCCAAAACATAGTTTAACAAGTTTTACAATAAACGTCAATCAATGAAATTATTATTTTTCAACTTTTTACAAAAGGGGGTGGGGGTGGAGACATACATCTACTTCATGCGGGATTTTGAACAAAGAATTTCTTCCTGCTATAAGCTTCTAAGCTGTCAGTAGAAACTACAATATATTTTCTGTCGGTAGTGGTATAAATTTCTTTCCCCGCGCTTGCGCGGGATTTCATCTAGTACTCTAAAAATTGATCGAATGTAACCATAATGGTCCTCATATATACTTTCTAATTCATTAATTTGTAGAAAGGTACTTTTCATAGTGTCTGTAATTCGATTGTTAAAAGAAGAGAAATAAAATGCATAGGAAGACTTGCTTGCACATCTTCGTTGCTGACCTTATAATCCTGCATATATTTTCTACTCTTTAGTCACAGATGAAGTCGGCAACTAGAGACTATGATTACATTGCCGTCGTTATAAGTGTTGTATTGTCTGTTTTCATCGTTTTCACGGGAAGTATCATAAATATTCTTGTATGGAGAAGGAATAAAAGTGAGTAAATAATTCCTTTGAAATAAATACCTAGACACCAGTTTCCTATTTTCAATTATACTTAAGTATTTAAAACTAGAGGTATTGCGAACAGTAAGCTCACAAAATTATACCCCTTCTGATATGATTTGCATTTCTTCGGAGTATGTACGTAATGGATATATGCCGAATACTGTTCTATATGTAAAATTATCAGAAAACAGTCTGATAATTTTACATATAGAATTGTATGAGGAATATATCTTTAAGTTACTTAAAACATTGCTATTTAGATGTCCAAAAGTTACCTGGAGGAGTCCGATAATTACACAATAGGAGTTCAGGCATCAATAGTTTTCTACCTGAAACCATCTAATAAGTAGACAAAAGAAAAGAGAAAGTTTGTTTTTTTTTAGACAGTAAAATCAGTGAGTGAACTATTCTTTCATTCATTCAATGGCAGTCGTTTGGCTTAGCAGGAACTATGGGCAGTGGTCAGGTGATGAAGGATTATTTTATGATTCGGAATTTTTTTTTATTAAGTGCGTTTAACATTGATACAGATACAGTGTTGGATGATATCTTCAAAATGCATTTAAAGTAAAACTGCGGATTTTAATCTAAAATTTTGATTGGATGATATAATGAAAATCTTGGGTTTTGAAAGTGCGGTCATTGGCGAACAAACCTCGTTAAATGAAGAGATTCGCAGACTGGTTCTTTATCAGAAATGGATTTAAATTGGCTTTTTCACAGTGCTGTATCGAAATCGCTTTGCAAAAAACCGAATGGAAAGTGTTACTTTTGAGGAAAGTTAAAACTCCAGTTTCGTCTTGGATTTACTATTTTTAACAACTTAATTTCCTCCCGTTCGCTTTCCCTGAATTTTTTCTCCCTAGCTTTTTTTTTGGTTTCTGGACAAATTAAACCTTGATTTCACTCTAGTTGTTGTTTTTTAACTACTGTCCGATTTTGTTATCACTGCCGTCCGATACTCGGACGGCTACAGGTAATTTTTTTCGACTGCAAGAACAAAGGCATGACGTCACAGCAATGTTTTAAATGAGGTTATATGTTAATTATATTGAATTCATTCATGGATTTAGGAGGAGTTAATAAAATGTGTACGGCCTTTATCTAGTATCATGGCAAAGTCCCTACAATAGACTTCTTGTCAATATATATATAGACTTCTTGTCTATATATATATACAGTACGGGCAACGCGGTTTGGTCATTTACCGCGCGTCGCGGCGGTGTTGATCTCATCGCGGTTTGGCCAGGTAAATCAGGTAACACCGCTCATCCCCGCGGTTAGATTAATTCCCCGTCGCGGTGCAAAGTCTAGATTTCTGAGCGAGGATAGTATTGTAAACAAACGCGAGTTATCTCCCCCAATGGAAAATTATGGAAAAATTATCAGCGTTGAAAAATCAATAAAATTATGTCTCTATTAAAGAAAGAATACTTGTATGAATATTTTTTTTTTTTCGTGAAGAAGATATCATAATTTTACTTTACGTTATTAAAATATACATTTATGAAACTGAGTATAATATTTATTTAAAAATACATATAAAAATATATTTAATAAATATTTTAATATACCTGCTTATCAAAATTTCAACAAAGGTTTGATAGCGATATTCTGTCGATATATATATAATATATATAATTTAAACATATACATTCATTAATGTCATACTACTATGGTGTCAATATCAATGTTATAAAAACTTACGGAAATAAATATTCAGAGAGAGAGAGAGAGAGAGAGAGAGAGAATTGCTTTTTCTATATGAATAATATCAAAATATTCAATCGACAGATAGTCTTTTCGATTATTACAAAAATTCATGAATGTATTATGAGACAGGAAGTATTATGTAAAAATGGTACCGAGTATGTGTGATGTACACTTTCAAGTTTTTTTTTTTTTGTCTACTGGAAATTATTTTTTTTATATTGGAAAGCTAATGAAAATACTCTATAGACACCGATTAGATTACAAAGAAAAGAAAAGAGAAAATAAAACACAGCTAGAAAAAAGAATGAAATAATGATTAAAGTTGATTAATTTTCTTACTGACTTTCGGAGATATAAAATTAATGTATAAACATCGTTCGATTGATCGTTCAACTCTGTTCAACATGTTCAATAAAGACCGATCTAGTGTGACTAATTACTATCAATTAAGTTCAATTTCATTTTCGTAGTAGGCCATCAGAAATGTATTATAATGGGTAGCGTGTTAACATTAGACTCATAATTAAAATGTTAAAAGAAATCTATAGAAACCGACAATTTTTCTGATACTACACTGAACATTCATCAGTCTTACACAAGTGATTGAACTGAGAGGACTTATTTCTGTGTTTTTGACTATAAACTGTGGATCATGGCTAGGCGACTTAAGCGTTTGGACACTCATTTTATTGTGCGGTATTTGTGTGACGATGAACTGCAAGTGAGAAATCGTGTGTCCTTCAAGTGTGATGGAGACTCTACAATTAGTGTTGGACTTGAGTATGATGTACAGTGGGGTAAACCAAAAGAAGTGGACAGGGCTGTTGTGTTGTTTTCTGGGACTGAACAGCAGATGCGGGAGAAAATTAAGGATTTGTTGGTACCTCTACCAAACCCAGTTGCAGCATCCTCAACCCCCCCATCCAGATCAACTTCCCCACCAAGACTGCCATCCCAACCCAGCTCACCAACATCTCCACGATCCCCAACCCCACCCAGATCACCTTCGTCAGCCCCTTCTCCAAAACGCAGGAAGACAACGGCTAATCTGGTAAGTACAAGTTCTATATTCACGTTTATTAATCAAAATCACATGTTCCATTAAACGAAATCAATGAAATACAATACATTTCTTATAGTAGAAAACATTAATTTGTTAAAATTCACAACAGAATGTCACATCGTCACACGATCATTTCATAATTGTACAACTGTATCAAGACAATGATATGTTGTTAGCTTATAATGAATAAATCTTTAAAAAATTGTCTTAATCACGCTAATTGTCCAAGTTTGGCAGACTGTTTTAAACGTTGTTTTAATGTTGAGATTCACAGTAAATACACAAACACTGCTGATGAATATTTTACACCCACTGTTTTAACAACTGTGAGGCCCTCGTGCGAACTTCTACGTCGGAATTCAGCTTGTCCTTGAAGTACGCAATACTTTTTCCTCGGGATTTTTCGGGAAACAGTTTCTTTGGCACGTCACCAGTAGCATTTCCTCTCATAATCACACACGCTGGCACAACTTTAAACACATGGTCAATGTATGTACAACATTTTTCCACCGACATCTGTGTCCTCCAGAATCTTCTAATGCACTCCTCTAACTCGCTTTTGGTCCTAGGGGTCTCGCGGGCAACACACCTTTTGAGCTCATTCCAAACCATTTCGATCGGGTTTAGATCGGGGCTTTCTGTAGAAAATATATTTTTAAATTAGAATGCGTATAACACTTTCATGTATATTAATAAAAATAATTATGCATTACGTAAGCACATAAAGAAAAAACAGAAAATTAATTTTTATAAAAAATGATAAAAAGATATTTTATTTTTGAAGTCTTATTGTTAATCACCGTCAATAAATTAATTCAATTTTTTAAATACAATTACCTGCAGGCCATTCACTCCACCAGTTGATGTTGTTGTTTTCCATGAAACTCTTGGATAATTTTGAGGTGTGTTTGGGGTCATTATCTTGTTGAAACCGGTGTCCAGTATCGCCAAATTTAGACTTCACGAACGGCATCAGGGTATCCCTCAGAATGTGCTCGGTATAAAAGGTTGAGTCCATGATCCCCTCAAAAAGTCTAATTTTTGATGCACCCTTCTTGCTGATGGCAGCCCAAACATGAATCTTTAGAGGGTGTTTCGGCTTTGGCAAGATAGTAGCACAAGAGTCCTTTAATCGGTAGCTCCACGATTTATTCTGATTCAACTGAACCGAACACTCATCAGAAAAAATCACATCGTCGAATTGTTCATTTGTTTCGATTAAACGTTCGCAGAACAGAACTCTTTTTTCCTTGTTGGCATCTCTAACCATCTGTCCATAGCGTGGTGTGGAATGCGTGAATCCACTTGCTTCAATGGCCCACTTTGTTGTGGTTAGTCCAAAATTGGCACCGTCTTCTGTAAGTTTTTTATGTATTTCCCGGCTAGACAGAGTACAGTCCTTCAATAGCTGATCTCTAATAATTTCTGTGTCCCTCTGGCTCACGCTTGTTGAAACTGCAGGTATCTCGGGGTCGCATACATCACCAAATAATCCAATTTGGTATTTGTGTATCCAGTAGGAAACCGAGTTCCTGCATACAATGTGTCCCAAATCCTTCAACTTTCTTATTATCCTCGCCACTGAAAATCCATCTTTGTGCATCCGGATGATATCTAATTTTACACTGTGATTAATACGACCCATTGCTTACACGTAAACGTTAAAACTAAAATGTTTCTGTACAACTGTCACCCAACTGATTAAAGTTACGTAAAATTACGTAATGTGTACGGGTATCTATCAACTGTCTTACATGTACATGTACCATGGATCAAATATCCATGTTAAGAATAAATAACACAAACAATTTTTTTCCAAAACCAGAAATATTTCTCATAGAATTCTATTAAAAAGGGTAACCTGAATAATGTTCGCTAGGTAAAGTGGCAGAAATTTGTAAGATTTTGACACAATGTTAAAAATACATGCACAGTTTTGTATATAATTACATAGAAAACGAACTATAGTCGCATATCTAATTTTTTTGTCTTATGAATCCTTAATTGTGTGTGTTTCTTTTAGATTATTATTATTAAAATAAACTAAATCCTAAACACAATTTTATAAAAATTGAATCAGTCAGTAATTAAAATTTTGAATCAATTATGAGACGATCTAGGGCTAATCAACCTCAAGGTACTGTAGCCGTAACGCATGGTTGAGTTATTACACAGAAAAATAATATACACATTCTACATGTACGGCTATTACCGAGATTATTGGGAGCCAGGGCTAATTGGTTTGAATAAACTGAAATAATATACAGTCAATGTGGCGGATCCAGGAAATGATTTTTGAGTTAAGGTCAATTAAACAATGTTTAAGCTGTTTCATGGTATTAAAGTTAAATTATTTTTAGGTGTTTTTAGATTTTAAGATATGTCCAGTCGTCAAGTTATTCAAAACGTTTAAAAAAAAACACAGGTAAAAATTACACTAATATAATTGAGTTCCGTTTTAAAACAATGCCGTAAATGTGTACTACAATGATTATTTAATTAACAGCCCTCTATACACTGCACACTAAAGAGTTCTGATTTTGTGGTATTTTTATGCAGATAGAGTGATCTGCCCTTTGAAAAAGAATAAGGTACATTGGAATATAAGTTTATTACATAATTTGTGATCAAATCAAGCATTCATAACACTTTAATAGGCCAAGATGGATAGATGGAACACTTCATTTGCAGATATATTGCCCACTTAAGTAAACAACAGTGATTTATGTTTATCAGTACTTCATTGTCTTTGAACATTTTTCCTGGGGGTAAATGCAAGGCACCCTATGTTGAAAATGTGGTTATCATAGATAAGCTCAATATTTACACCTTTACACACCATAATTTTCTCAATGTCCAAAAAATATTTTCTTCTAGTGTATAGAGGGTCCTTAAATGATCTGTTTGTCCTAACTAATCAGAATCTTAATTTCTACCGTCTTAGCTGCAAGTGGAGTGGAGTTCCTGCAAACCAGTGATCCTATTGCTGATACGATGAGTGACAGTAGTCCTGGAGATGTGTACCAAGGTGTTCCCGAAGAATATCAACTTCCAGATACCGTCCTCAGAGACATGATTAAGGAATCAAGGAACGCAGGAAATTTCGCAGTTAATCTCACAAGGAAGATCTTCCCCGAACTGTACGGTGAGGGCAACCTGCGAATGGAGTACAACTGGTACGGTGGTGGAAAACTCTCCAAAAAAGAACTGGATCCAGCGAGAAAGCAAGTGGTGAGGCGCTATGTGTGTTACTTCTTCCCAGAATTCAAACCCGAGGATTCCTGGAGGGAGAGGATCGTCTCCAAAATAAACGAGTCACTGAGGCGAAATGACAAAAGACTAAAGAAGGATAGTGTCAATCTTGTGATGCCCTCTGTGCCAGAAAGTGACCTTGGTTGCTCCGATGACGTCTTCACCTTTAATGACTAATTTTTTTTTTTTATCTCTGATTCATTGTTGTGACCCACATGTTGTAAACTCAGGGATTTATACGTTCGAAAGAACGATTGCAAAAGACAGTAACAGAGTAATATAATTCGTTATTTGATGAAGAAAAAATGTAGTTAATACATGTAAAAACACTATCCCAAAGAATATTAATACATGTATAAATGTGATTTGTTTGCTTTATTCTTTGGAATGTATCATTTCATTTATTAATAAAATAATTATAAAAGATTGCACTTTTAGTCTATATCAAAGGTTGTGATACTGAATGATAGCATGATATTTTATTGTAAAATAAATACAACTAGCAGGATATTTTATTGAAAAATAAATATAACAATCACTGAAATTTATAATTTAATGAGAATATTTACGAGGAAGTACATTGACCAAAGCCATTCAACGGACGATGTTTGGCACTTGGTCTAGTCTGTGTATTTTAAAACTCATACATGCTAGCAGAAGTTAAAGCAGACAGGAAGTGTTACGCAATGATTATCTTTTTACCTGAACACATTACAAATAATTGATTCCATTGCATATTAGATAGATCCAGCTACATGTATTTCAGAAAGAGGAGGTCCTATCAGTGGATGGAAAATTAGAAATTGATTTTTAAAAAATGAACAAGTGTATTTATTTAGTTCAATACTATGTATTGTTAAATTATTCTTACTTGATAAATAACAATATTCGCATAAATTTTTAAACATTCGAAAAACTAAACAGATGTCCCGAAGAATGGGGATAGGCGGTACAACCCCCCGGAATCCCTCTAGTTTATTAATTGATCCACCAATAACACCCTAAAATTAATGATTGGATGACTCGATCCATGCGCGACAGAACAGTGCACGTGGATTCCGTGAGCAATGCTTGTTAAATCACAACCCTTGTTAATGAAAGAATTTTAAGAAAAAGTAGAAGAAATGAATGAAAATGTTGATTAAGATATCTTACTCTACATATTTACGGCAAACTTACATACTCGGCAATTAAACGATGAACGTTTTAACATATAAGGGAAATCTGCAATGTAGCCTTCAAGTTGTTAAATTTAATTCAAAATGCTGATGATGATTCTTATTATACAAAAATTAAATCTAGTATCCATTAAACTCGTAACGAAACTATACTTTAAAAAATATAAATAATTGTATACATGTACTCTCTTATTTAAAAAAAAATCTACACTGTATATATTATTAATTGATAATACAAATACAAATTTGTTTAGTCACATAAAAGGCATTATTCTCCAATCAAAGAAAAACAATTCTTCTTACCGAAACAAAATAATTTTCCTGACGTTAAAAAACATTCCTAGAGACCCCCCCTAAAAAGATCGGTGATTGCAAATACATGTGCGTACAGGTAAAATATCAGAGCTGACGAAGAACGGTAGTTCACACCGCCGCGGTAAAGATGGTCTGTTACCTGCACCGCGATGAAAAACCGCGATGGTGTATCGCGGAAAGGATTAATACACCGCGGAGGGGGCGCGGTTAAATGACAAAACCGCGTTGCCCGTACTGTATATATATATATATACTTTACAAAAGAAAGGCCACACATATTGTAACAGATTATAACGAGTTATACTATTCTTTACATCATATGTAAGAAACTCTAAAGGGGGCATCTCAAAATGAAAAAAAGGAATTTTTTTCCGTTTTAATGGAGTACTATAAAATATGACATGTGGTAATGATTTATACAAAAAATATCAGAAAATAATTTTGAAATTCTCAAATTCTTGTGTTAAAATTTTCAAGAGCGTATATTTGGTACCTTTTCTTCAGTAACATTTTTTTTATGATCCCCTCTTTAAGAACATTTTACCATAACGTCACGAACATACTTTTAGCACGTCCATCTACCAATGAGTTGAAAAATGATAGTAATAAAAAAAATATAATTAGATTGTTTAATCTGTGGTTTCCTAATTTTGTTTAATTTGATAAATTATGTTAAAATATATACTTTTAATGTGTAAATTTACAGCTTAATTTTACTATGCAGTGCAAAGTATTGTGCAATAAAAACCCCAGTGCACTGAAGATACCTTGAACCATGTTTTAGACTTCACCCATTGTGTTTTTTTTATTTCGACGCAATAATCATTCCTTTAAAATCCAGGTTTTCTCGATTGTATTTCTTTTTTGAAACTTTCTCCAGACAAAAACAAATTATAGTTTCCTTCTTTCCTATTAGATTTTTGGCAATGTTAAGAATGAATAATGAATTGTAAAATCAAACTACTTTTTTGTGTTTATATTATCATTTAGCAATTCCGTAACCATTCTACTATCAAGAAACTGACAAAATATCACTAGCTGCTTGAGCTATGATTTAAAAAAAAATAAACTCTGTAATTGTTAAGCTACAAGAGTATGTGTTTGATAGCAATGCTTCAAATACGATTTTTGTCTTAATAAAATAATGATAAATGTAAAAAAAAAAACAACAAAAAATACAAAATATCTGTTAAGCTTTATCAAGAGGTAGGAGCGGAGATTTTTTGACTACATTCAACATTTCTTATGCATATAACCTCACAATAATAACATAATTAGAAAAAGAATTTCCGAGACTTTTTATCTTGCCACACCATGGAAACAAATAATGCCTATTTGGGAAAGAACCGCATTTAAAGAAGGGGAGATAAAACGATAAAAACCTTTTTACGTGTAAGATATATATGTTTTGGTTGATGCTAAAGATATTATTAATCAGTACACTTTGTGTTAATAGCAAGGACGGTAATGCATGAGTAAGTTTTTCCTTATTATTCATATTCTTATATTAAGTCTTTGTTTAAAGAGAATTTGACAATGGTTATTTAAATAACTTCATTTACTTGCATGTAACCGTATGATTAATTTTTAGCTCACCTCAACGAAGTTGGGGGAGTTTATGTGATACCCTCGGCGTCGGCGTCCCAGGTTAAAGTTTCTTTTAAATGACTCTATGCCCTATATTAATCAAAGATGTATGGGGGATGCTTCTAGTATATTTCATTGTTCCAGTCAAGGTTTCAGATGCTGCAATTTCAGCTAAAGAATGACCTGGTTAATGTTTTGAAGCAGGTCTCATTTCAAAGTTACATTAAGCCCTATATTGACCAAACTTGCAAGGCTGATATTTCTAAGGATGCAGACTATCTGATTTGCTCCAGGTCCTGGATTTAATCAGATACGGTACCAATTTTCTGACTTTCATTTTCCGGATGAGTGACCATGTTAAAGTTTTTTGAGCCGTTCTTATTTCCAAGTAAATGTAAGCCATATGATGACCAAATTTGCATAGATGATACATCTAAGAATGCACACTACTGGACTTGCTACGGATACTGGATCTGACCTACATTTTCAATATGAGAGACCAGGTTAAAGTTTGTGGAGTAGGTCCATAACCAAGAATGTATAAGGGCAATCTAAACCAAATTTGCATGGATTGTGCATCAAGATATAAATACTCTCAAACTTGCTTCAGAAGCTGGACTTTTCTTACATTTTCTGGATGATTGACTAATTCAAAGATTTTAGATAAGTCCATTCCCAACTGCAAGCCCTATCACACCAAAATTTCATAAATGTTGCGTCTAGGGATGCACACTACTAGATTATTAGTTTAGTGTTGGACATTGCCTTACTTAAAGACAATATTCGTTGAGTTGAGCTCTAATATCAGATTACCTATGTTTTAGCCAGAAAGAGAATGATATTCTTAAAAGCAAATTTTCTGATTTGAATATTCAAGGTAAAATGATTTTTTGAACTAAACTTACTTCAAGCCAAGTAATAATTAACTAGGGTATCCCAAGGTACGCATGTGTCGCCTGCTTTCTAGCTTCATTAAAGATGTGAATAAATCTCTAAGAGGGGTCAGCTATTTATTTACTACTAACATTATAGTTCATGCTTTTGCGCTGCGTCGAATAAAAAGAAAGAATAATTGCAATAGAATCAAGATGGGGACAATTATTTCAAAATGTAATTAAGCACATACGCAACATAGTTAGAACTTTATTGTCCTTTTTCTCCGAAGCTGAAGAGTTCCAATACTTAAAGGAACTGTGTGCTACATTTTAATGTCTCTGTATGTTGTTATACACTTCTAAAACAAGTTTGGATAAACAAAACATCTAGTATATATGTTGAGTAATTTTTGTGTATTTTTCTATGAATTAGAATTTTCAAAGATTTCAAAGAATTTTCATCAATTGATATCTTTTCAAAACTCCTGGTAATGCATGTTGATTTTTTGTCTACGAAAATCTGATGGCACTATAATCTTAAATTAAGGATATCTTGAAAAATTATTAGTAGGTAAGGTACGTTGCGTATGTCCTTGAATTACAATTACATAGACTTTTTCTTCAACAAAATTACAGAGAAATTACAGGCTTCTTAAGACGTAATTTATTTAATAACAAATACTTTGCAAAAGTTATTCATTGAATAAGAAAAAGCATTTTTATTTATTCATGTATTTTTTATTTTTTTTGGGGGGGGGGATTTTTACAATCCTTGTGAATGAATATGCAAAACCATTATTGTATATATAAGCTTAAGCAGCATTTACACAAACAAGAATTAAATATTACTTGAGTTAGTGTGTATCTCTTTGTGATGTTATAACTTTCATTTACAAATCATTTAAGAATTATCCATGATGCAGTTTTCTTCTGGAAAAGCCTACATGTACAAAAATTGTACACCTTTTGAAATTTGTTAAAAATATGAGTAAATGAGTCACAGCTGAATCTCCTCTAATTATGTTCAATTGTAGGTAACCTGAACAACCTTAATTGCTATTACTGTCGAACATTTTTACTTCATAAGTAATAATTGTATATAACTTTTTCGGATAAAAAAAAATCCCCCCAAAAATAAGAAAATATTTATATATATCTTTATGCAATTATTAAATTGAAAGTTTTTTCTTTTCTAAACCTAGTAGGGCAATTTTAATTCAAA